TGGAAAAGCGCACGTGGCGTGCGGGCGCGCGTTCGGCCTCAATTCGGCTCGCTATAGTTTTTCGTGTTTCACAATCGGCCGCGATAGATCGAAATGAACGCGCTGACGCGATATCGTATGTACGATTAGAAGATCCCGCGCGCGTATCCGATGCCGACGACCTACATATATATTAAATAAGAGGCCCGTGCCGCTCGCGCGGTATGTTTTTCAATTACGGAATCGCTCGTCTACTCGTCTCTCTTATCGTATAACGCGACATGTACACGACGGACGTCCGCAAAGCGCAAGGACAATTGCACAATTGCGCGCGACACTTACAAACGACTTAACTTACAAACGATTCGTGCGTAATTATCGCCCGACGTTGGTATACCTTGCCGAACGCCGGGAGAGCAATACCTATATATAATGCCGAACCGCGCGACACCGGGCATCAAGTAACTCCACGGTGTCGACCCGCCGCTCGCTTCGACGCACCACACCGGCCGGAGTGCATATCTGCCAGGAAAGATCTACCTCTCGCCCGCCCGCCCCTCCCCCCTTTCCGAGGAACACCCAGGTACGTTTTTTCCACGTCGTTAATTCGCCGCGAACGGCTCACCGTTTTTCCGGATAGTGGCAAATTCGTTGGCTTTACGGAAAAATAATAGTCCTTCCGCCCCGACTCGTCCTCCCTCCCTCCCTCCACCACTCCCGTCCTTTCCCTTCGTCTTCGGCGAGCTCGGCTAAATTGACTGTGTTTTCTACTTTGCGCAGAAAAATGAACCTCCTAGCGTTCGGGCTTATCCTGATCTGTTGCCATGCCTGGGCGATTGAGACAGACGATAATTGTAAGTAGATACCTATACTTCTTTCCCTCTAATCTCTCTCTCTCTCTCTCTCTCTCTCTCTCTCTGTCGAGGAGGATGTACACCCAATAGACGTGCCTCGCCAGAAATATATTGCTGTCTCCTGCAATTATATCACATCCCTATATCCCGGTCTATTTTTGAACCGGGTCTACTTTTAAGTCGCCTATTTTTAAACATTCTATTTTTCAGCCGTCCGTTTTGGACACCTCCTTCTGGGGAGGAATTTTTGATAAGAGAGATTTCAGACATTATATAACTGAATAAGTCTATTTATGAATGGGGTTTATTTTCGCGCGGTCTATTCCTCATCGATATCAATTTCCGCGGTTCTGCAGAGCGCGTACTTCGCTCCGTACTTCGCGTTTCTTTTTTTTTTCTTAGTTACGTAAGTTCTCTTGCCGACGATAATATTCCATCGGAAATACTGTCGCATCAGCAATCGTTGTTACTCAATATTGAATATTCAGTGTGTCGTCAACATTTTTATATACGTTTTAACGCTGATTATACATATGACGCATACGTACGTTCAGTTGTAGAGCCCTTCGCGCAGAAAAGAACAAAGTTAGAAGAAGCCCTCGAGAAGTTAAGGACCTTGCTGCGAAATGGAGGGGAGGGATTTCCGGTCCTCGATCCGTTCATCAAGGACAGGCTGCCTCTCAAACTTAACGAATCTATTCCTGCGGGTAACATAGAGTGCGTGTCAGTTTGGTACTTGAAGTGAACGCACGTTGATTACAAACGCGTTAAATCAATATAATTCACCTAGATTCAGGCTGATAAAGAATGTCACGATTATAAGCTGTTAATCGATATCTCTTAAGTCCTTAATTCCCAATTGTTGTCATATATTATCGCGGTAGATTACATGTTTACACTTAAACAGAGATGTTTTAATAATACAGTACGGCCGGGCGACTTAATTTAATGTGTATCACGCGTTATGTATGACACGACAGTCAACACGTGTTAAAAAAAAGAAAAAATGATATCTCGTCATTAGGAACAAAGTTTAATGACGCAATTTTTTTATTTTTTTCATCGTACATCTCAGGTTTGACGGGCTTTTCACGAAAATCAATGTGACTGGCATATCCAACTACACGATCAACAGCGCTGACTTCAAAATATTTGGTTTGAAGCTCCACGCAAACCTGACTTGGCCGACAATCACCGCGAATCTTAATTATACCATGAATGGCAAGGTTCTCGACTTCGGAATTTATGGAACTGGAGGAATGGAGTAAGTATTCTTCTAAATCTTTTTTCGAGAGAAATCTAATTATTGTACTTCGACGAGTTCGCGTTTCTTGCAATATCCATACGCGAAAGGGACCTCGCTGCCAATTTTTATGTTTTATTAATTCGCCAGTAAGAGACGGAAGGAATTAAATCTATGTAATAAGCTTTCAACGCAAGTGCATTAATTTCAATTATTATAATAATACACTACCGCTTATCTTTACCGTATCGTGATTAAAATACAAAATCATATGTTTATCGTTACATAATAATTATATATTATAGCAAGAGAAAGATCGCTTCGGCCTATCCTCGTGAAGAACGTACGCTTTTTTTCCACTCCGCGTGCTTCATCTATATTTAACTACAATGCTTGAAATATGCACGTGAAAAAAAAAACGAGAGCTCCGCTGGGGATGACTGACAATGAGTTGGCCGTTTTTCATTCAGGCGCTTTCGCGACTTTATCAGGCAACGCCGACTGCGACAAAGCGCGTTATTAAATCGTGACTGAATTTATATATGCCTCGCGGCGAGGCACGCGATCGCGCGCGATCTCGTGCGTTCACAGCCTTCTTACGGTGGTCAGGCTCGCCCGTTAGCGGTACGCGGTAAGCTCAATCGAGATTGCTTTGACTGGGAATTTAAACAGGGCCTTTTTTTCTCCCGGAGATTTAAATAATTCATCATTCCGCCGTTAAATTCAACGATAAGCTTATATTTGAACGGATCTTTTCAACGCGCGCAAAATCAGGAAAGGAGATCCGTTTGCGCGGCGGCGCTTATTTAAGATTTAAAGTAATTAAAAATCAGAAGGTCAAAGGCTCAGACGATAAAATAAAGAGTTATGAGCCAAGCTAGATCTTAGTGCTCACAAAATTATAACAGATATTAAAAAATTTGACACATTTACGAACGTTTCGGCCTACATTAGGAGGCCGTCTTCAATGTAACGATATTTCGCAAGTCTCTAGTTATCGCAGCCTTTATGTTATCAAGTCTTTAGTTGTCACAATCTTGTGTAGTCAATCATAAATTAGGTATATTTTAATTGTACTCTCCTTCAAAATTCTCCCACGATGGAAATTGTACGTAATAATTTATACGGAAGTGTGTGCAGTCATGACAAGTTCCACAGTAATGATTATTAATATATGTAACGTAAATTAGTCGGAGACATGTCAAGGTTTACTATTGCAATTATTAAAATGATTAATTATTTTATTGGCAAACGCTCCAAATTTTTTTCTAATTAAGCTCCTGTCTTCAAAAAAATTACAACGCACATTCTTTTCTCAAAAATTTAAAAAAAGTTTTTTAAATAAACATTTGACAATTCTCAGAAAAAATTTTAAAGCTAAAAAAGGCGCGCTCGGCGAGCGTGCTATCAGCGCTATTGCAATTGCATTCTATTGTTTTACGTCTAATGAATAAGAAATAGAATGACGCAATAGCTGAACTGCGCTGACAGCGTGTGTCCAAAAAACGAATCTTATAATTAAATATATATTTAATTTTCAGTGCAGCCTTGCATGACTTAAACATTCAGGTTGACATGAGTTGCAATTTGAAGAATTCACATGTTCAAGTTAAGCAAATGTCAACGAAGATTTCCTTGAGAGCATTAAATGTAAGTAATTAAGCTTACAGATTCTTTCATTGATTCTTATATATAAGGTATTCCGAAATTCGCGAATCAAAATACTATAGCAAAAAAGTTCTCGAAAAAACAAGTGATAAAAAAAGTATTCGTCATTCTTTTCATTCCGAGCAATAAATTTTAATATATAAATGTTAAAAACAGTCGAATTAATTACAGTTAAAAAATTGTCAAGCATTTTTTAATAGCTAATTTGTGTATGACAATGTTCAGTGAAAAGTATATGAATGAGGTTTGACTGTGATATGAATAAGAATAGTGACAATCAAGTTGCAATCAAGTGACATACATTCGAGTCATTATTTCACGACAATAATTCTGATCAGTTAAATTTTCTATTCATCCGTACTATTTCAAAGGAAACTTGATCCCTATTGCTTGATTGCAACTTCTCAAATCTTATTCATATTTTTTTATAAATATACAAATTAGTTCTACAAATTACTAAATTAGTAACATGGTAATAATATATTTTCAACAAAATTGTAAAATTTGTGACGTTTGTATTGATGCGCGATTTGCGATAGACGGCCGTTTGACCGTAAGTGGTCAATTTTGAAATTTGTACCTCAGAAACTACTGCTCGATACGAAAAAATGTGACGAATGCTTTTTTTTATTATTTTTCGAGAACCTTCATGCTGAAGTATTTGCGATTTTTGGGACGCGTTGTATATTTTTCAAAATGTAAAGAAAGTTTAATTAAATATGAAAAATCAAAAATGAAAACGATAAAAAATATTTAATAGAAGCTGATTCAAATTATGTATAACATCTCTCATTTCTCAATCAGATATTATTCGATTGTACGGAATGTAATCCTAATTAATTTTCTGTTACTATAATTATTTTCATTTTTCCGAATTTCCAACACAATTTCCTTTCAACTTTACATATACCTCAGATATAAAATTTTCTCGTACTAACATCTATTCTTCTCATATCAATATGAGCTTCTATTACAAGTTTTTTTTCACAACGTCACGCATATTTACTTTTTCAATAACATAAAAAATAGTTTATTAAATTTGCATCGCGTTAATTAGTAGGAAAATTAATTTCTTGGTTAAATTAGTAATTATACGAGAAAACTGCCACTTGTACGATATTGAGTTAACACTGCCACGTCGTTTCTTGCTCTTCAATTTGCATATATAAAAAGGCGACCCAGTCGCCGCTGCCGCTGGCAGAGATATCGATCTTTTACAAACAGCCATTATGGAAAAGACTCGAAAAATCTCCAATTCACTTAGCTAAAAAATATTTTACTGAACTCCTAGAAATTTCTTGCTTAATTATAAGCATGTGCATTTATATGTCAAACAATATACATATATTAAAGTAACAACGTGAATAGTTAAAAGATTACGTAGAATAAAGAAATAAATTGACTACGACTGCAAAGTCAGTTAATTTAATCATTGATATTTCCATGAAAATTGATTTAATTTTCTTCATCTTGACAAATTATTTATTTTAATTGGAAAAATCACAATAAATATGCAACGACTCGAATAGAAGCTGAATAGAGGTAGAAAAACTAGATTCAAGTCATAACGTCTCTCATTTTTCAATCAATTCGATTGTGCGGAATTAATTAATTTTCTGTTATTGATTATTTTCATTTTGCCGAATTTCCAACGAAATTTTCTTTTCTCTCGCTCGCAGTTTCACGCAACGGGTCTCTACAATGACGAAGGTATATCCGACATATTGAGCAAGACGATCTCCGAAGTGATGCCTAAACTGATCAAAGAGAACCAAAAGGTAATTGTGGACAATATTAATCAAGTCGCCACAGAGATGCTCAACGATTACCTGAACACTATAACGCTTAAGGAGCTGCTGAAATTGTTAGGTCTATAGGGTAATATTTTTTCGTCGTGTTCGATGCCGCGCTATCGTTCGATCAGTCATTTCTACAATCGCAATCGTTCTCACTCGATTAAACGATACGTACAATACAAACGTATGATAATACACTCGAAGAGCGTTGGTAACAAGTTTTACTCACGTCGAGGATTAAAAAATCCTTAACCCGCTTTTGCACTAAATTTATTTCTGTATGATATGCCAATAAAATCAGTATTAAAACCACAAAAAAGCTGCTTCTTTCTTTACAATAAGATTCCCCTTTCATTTTTTCGTTCTTTATGTCTTTGTGATAATATTAAAATAGGACGTACCATCTTCTCAATGCATAATATATAATAAAGTACGAAGGAGAGAAAAAAAATATGCTTTTATATATTTTTCATATAAAGTTATCTCTGGAAAATGAGTGCGTAAATATATTTTTTACGCTCTAAATATATACTAATAAACAGAAGCGATATCACGTGAACGTATTAAAAATACAGTCGTTCACGTGATATCACTTTTGATATCGCTTCTGTATTGTGTTTTCAATACGTTCGCGTGAGATACCGCTCGTTAATATTTTTCTATCTAAACAGAAAATAAGATGATGCTACAAAATCCGCGATTGAGGGAAAAACAAAAGAAATCTAAAGTTCAAACAATTTAATCGCTTTTTTTTACAGCATGAGTATTATGATACCTCTCCATAGATCACAACAGATCTCTCTAGGTCGCGATGACACTCTGGCGTCTATCGCTCGTTCTCTCTCTCTCTCTCTCTCTCTCGCTCTCTCTTTAATAATGATATAATACCTCTCCACTTATCGCGCGATCTTAAATTAAAATCCCACAAAAAACCGATATATTAAAATCGAATTATTCGTTTATTAATTATATGCGTATCTATCGAAATATGTATAAAGCAATATTTATCTTATTGTTCAGATTTTATCAACTTGCAGTTACATAATGCTTGCGAATAAGTATCTATCGAAATATGTATATAAAGCAATATTTATCTTATTGTCCAAATTTCTCTTATCAACTTGCAGTTAAATAATGCTTGCGAATACATAATGTTATCTGTGATATGATAATGTTTTTGTGCGCGATATTAATTTGTCGATCCTAGTAAACACATCGCGATTTACAGTGTACCTTCTCCATTCAGGACACACAAACTTGTTAGCAGAGAGAGAAACGCAATTTTGACAGAGACTTTTATATTTCTATATAAATACGTCACGTATGCGATATTATTAGACTAATATAAATTGTTATTGTTCATGAAAAAAATAGTTCCGACATAAAAATAAAATTATAACAAAATATTCTTTTGTCAAAACTATAAGGACAGTCAGATTAACAATTTTTTACATTTTTATACGAATGTATCAAATATTTATTTAAGACTCTATTATCATCAATATGAATTTTTATTGTTCATGAAAAAGATAGTTTTAGTTCTGACATTAAAAAACGAGTTATAATCACACGAAAATTTCTTTTATCAAATATACAAGGATATAGTCAATTATATTAATAATTGACTTTCATGTTTTTATACGAACGTGTCAAATATTCGACTATTAGATCAATATGAAGTGTCGTTGTTGCGTGAAGAAACAGCTTTTAGTTCTGCATAAAAAAAAATATATGTTATACTAACACGAAGTGTTCTTTTATCAAATATGAGGATCGCGTTGTGAAATAAGTTTAAAATAAGATTCCTACAATTTTTAAATTCCTGATCGTCAAAACTGTGCATTATTCCTATATATGTGTATATATATGTATACGTCACTTGATTGCGTTACACAAGTTGCAGCGTAACAAGCTGACTTATAATCTAATCTCCGATCTAATCTCTCTCTCCGGTCTCGAT